TCTTTTTCACTTTTCTTTTTCTTAGATTGGAAAAATAAAGAGCCCAAGTTAAGGGGAGTATTTTAAGTTTCCATTGCTGTTGATGCTGGACTACATCTAGCTGACTGAAATACACTGTGACTTAGCAAAGACAAATAAACAGATGTTCAAACATCTTGCAGCTCTTTCTGCTGGAAATTCCATGACCCATTTCCGCAGAGGTGCAGTAGTGTGGGAAATGTTTTACAAGGATTAGCTGCAGGTGGTTAGGGATCATGACTCTGATGAGAGAAGAAGGTACTGAGCACACTTCTCTCTGTGTGTCAGCGAGGCTGAGAGGAGGAGAGAGGTGCACAGTTTGAACAGCAAAAGACATTTCAGTTGTTAGTGCAGGTTTCCTGTGTAAGAACAAACCCAAATAAACTTGTTTGAGGAAGGTGACAACAAAGGCACAGGTGGGTGGGCCATTTCTCTTGCACTGGTAATTTATTTCACAATTTGTTCTCCTGGTCTCTTGACCAAGGAGTTTTGGGGTTAGTTTGGAGGTTTTTTCCAGTTATCTGGATTTTTGGGCCTGACAGCATTGTTCCCTATAACTAGAGATATCCCACCCCAGTCTCCCTCAAGGCTCTGCACTGTGATAAAACCAGGTCATGGTTCACAGTACCAGGGTGAGGTGCTGTGCAAAGGGGGAGGGTGCAGTAACAAGAGCTTGTCAGGACTCCCAGGCATCTCTCTTTCTTTGTCAGAAAATGCTGTTCCTCGGTGCAGAAATCTGGGATGCAGTATTCCAATCTCTCCAGTCAAAATGCTTAGATTGCAAACTTCCCTGGTCATCTGCTGAGCTGTAGCTGAACAAGGCTACAGCCCTGCTGATGGCTTCCTTCTCCCTCCAAAGGGGAGCTTCAGGCAGCACTGCACTTCCTCTCCTGGGCTGGGGAATTTAGCAGAAAAGAGGGATTTGGGAAGGGGAAGGCCCATTCTGAGGAGCCCCAGTTCCCAGCGGTTGAGAACTCTCTCCAGTGGCCTCGGTGTGTCCCTGCTTTGGAGGATGGAGCAACCCTGACAGAGGCTGTTGGGGAGCACCTAGGAGCATGCAGAGAGTTGTCAGCAAAACTGAGGAACAGCATTACAAGTTTTAGGATGCAGCAACTTTTAGTCTTGGCCATTCTCCTGATGTTTGCCCGTCTCCATCCCCCTCGGGTCTCCCTTCTGGGTACAGGCAGTAAAAGTTGTACAAGGGTTGTCAGCTGCTGCTCTGGCTCTTGTGTAGCCAGGGTATGGCCAGGGCAGGTGCTGGGAGATGGCAGCAGGTAGCAAGGGCTGAGAGCTGTAACCTCACTGCGTTTGGAACTCTTGTGGTTCACAGTTCAGATGGGGAATTCTTCCAGTGTGGAGGAGTGGGGTTGTCTGGTTAAAATCTTATGTTTTTACTACCTAATCCCTTGGCAAATCTTATTGCTTACATTGATAAAACAGTCAGCAACACAAGAAACTCCAGATGAAACTTGGTATCCGTCCATTGTGTCCCAGAGGGTCAGAAGTGAAAGTGTGGGTGCTGAGCCAGAGAGTGCCCTGGGGTCCTGTCCTGACAGGTGCTGCTTTGGATGTCCAGAGGGTGGAGGAGCAGCTGGGGGCTTGGGCCAAGGCTCTGCCCTGTCTCCCTGGGAAGAGGAGGAGTGCCAGCCATGCTCTGTTACAGGGCCTGGTGTGTTTTGAAAAACACTGGAGAACTTGTGCTGCTGGACATAACCATATTTGGTCTGGATGAGGCATTTTCCCTCTGCAAATGAAGCATTATGAGTCAGAGGTGCATGCTGAGAAATGAGAACCTTAGATTAAGCTTGGTCAGATGTTTTTGGCAGAGATTTGAGTTGATGCTTTATTTTAAATGTAATTTTTTTTAATTGAAAGAGAACAGTAGAGGTGTAAAATTCTTGGCTTCAGTACATAAGTTTTAAAGATTAGATTTAGCTCATTAATCTGACAGGACATAGAGATAAGAATTAATCCCTCCAGTGCTAGTATTAGAACTAGTGAGTGGAGGTGGGAGCCTCCTGCACAGCAGTCCTTTCTCTTTATCATGAAGTACAATGTGTTTCTGGAGATCCTTATATATTCCCTGTAGACAGGTTACGTGACAGTGTTTTCCAGGTACCTCACTGCACTAGGGAGGAAACTTCCAGTCATACCAGCACTGGAGGCTTCTGCTTCTGTGGGAGCAGAGCTGAGCCAGCATTGGAAACCTGGTGTGGACACTGCCTGGGCAACCTGTAAGGCCATCTGGAATCCTGCAGGGGCTTGGACACAAGCTAATGTTTTCAAGCGTGTAGAGATGTGATCTGAGGGGAATACTGCTCATTGTTTATTTTTTTTCTTCTCTTTCAGTACATAAAATATTCCTCCACACACATTCTCAGCTGTTCAGACAATGGCAGTTCACTTCAGGCTGCTGTTTTTCAGAGTAAAAAGACTTACTGGGAGAGAAAAGTGCTGCTTGGTATGCCAGATGCCTGAGGTTGGTTCATTGTTGAGCTGCAGAATTTCAGTGGATATAAAACCTGTCATGTTTCCAGTTAGGTGCAAGTAACCTGCAGCTGGCAAACCCCAGGTTTGTGTCCTGGTTTGTGCTGCCAGGATAGTCCTAATGACTTGTATATATGGTGATTCTTGCTCTTTTGGGCTCCTGACTGACTAGTCTGACCAAATCTGTTCCAGACTCGTGCTGAAAAGGGCTATAAAAACAAGTGAGGTGTGTGTAGTTGTCCCCTGTCCCATCACCTCCTGCTTCCTCTGGGAGAAACACTGTAGATTTTTCAAGGGGAGCCAGTGGGCCACATCAGACTCTCACAAAGGTTTTGTTGAGTCCAGCACACCAGAATTAACATTGTGGGGCTGCTGTTCCCTCTATTCAGTACACATAAGTCAATCTGGTACTGCATCCAAAGGGTCTGATGGAGGATCTGCTGCTGCACTGGGCCCATACAAGCTGGAAGTCATTCAGAACATGATGTGTTTCATGCAGCAGCCAAACTGCTGTGCAAGCACTTTGGGTGCCCTGGGTGGGAGGCACTGCTGCTCACACGTTTTGTTCTAAGGCTCTTGGGATTGATAAGGCAGTTTATAAAGTGATTGGAACAGCAACACTAAGATTATTGTGCTGTAATTACTTTCCACTTTATCTGAAATTAGCTTTGGCTTTTTTTTGGGCTAATTACTGGGAACTGCTGCATCAAGTCTCTCAAATCACTGCTGCTCTGCGGCTTTTTCACTGCAAGCACTGGGGTAAGGCCACTGCTTCCACACCTGGGGCAGCCAAACCCCTCCCTGGAGGTTATGGGGCAGCAGGAAGAGCAGCTGCCCTGCCCCAGCAGGGCAGGGCTGAGAGGAGGGGCTGAGGCACAGCCTCCCCCACTGCCCTTGCACAGAGGCTCAGAGCTGTCCCTGCTGAGCCCCTGCCCTGGGACTTCTCTGGGGCTCTCGGGCTCCGGTGCCATCCCTGTGCATCCAGTTTGCACAGCACGTATTTGCACCTGATTTCAGGCTGCACAAGATTTTATCAACAACTCTGTTTAGCTTTGGACCTGTCACTTTACAGAATGTGAAAGAGCATTTCAAGGAAACATCTGTCAGTTTCAAACCACCTGTTTCTGGTTCCAGTTGCTGTGCTACTGCGGGAGCAGCAATTAAGCCCTGGGTAGTGCAGTGTGAGGCTGCAGGAGACAGAGCAGTGTCCGTGTGCTGGAAGTAATGAGGTGAGTGAACAGGATGGTTTTGGCCTTTGCTTCTCTGTTACCACTAGAGGTGTCAGTCACAAAGTCTTAAAAATCTTTAATTTGGTCAAATTAAAACTTGATCTTCATCTGAGTGACAGAACTTCCTACGACATTTGCAGACAATGTTGTTTCAGAGAAGAGCTGGTAAAGGCCAGATTACTTTCTCAAAGAAACTCCCCAGCTGCAGGGAGCCACCCAGGGAGCATAACCACCTTTGCATCATGAGATAAATCAATGAGAAATGACTTTCAAATGGCTGTTGAATTTATTTGCTTGATAAATACAATCCTAACAAAATAAAAGTTAACCAATATTAAGAGATTTGTCTGAAGAACATTAGAAAAATCCATGACAATTCAATAGGAATTAGTGTGAATTAAACAAACAAACAAAAAGTTTAAATATTGCCAGCAAATATAAAATGTATGTAACGAAGGCAAGGGAGAATGCTTTAGTTTACATTTGTTATCTGATCACATTTTCTGTGTTTATAAACTTTTTTTTTCCCCAAATTTTAAAAAAATACTATGCTGTTTTTTTTCTATAACATATCAAAGCATTATTTGTACAAAATCAAATCATGGCCAATGATTCACAACAGTGCAATAGATAAAGAATACAACCACATCCAACAGGTGCTGAAAATAAATATCCAGATTAAAAAATAAGATAGCCTATATGCACTCTGTGGAGTTTCTGTCTATCTGTGGATTGATGGATGAGTCTCATGAGTGTATCTGAAACATTACATGGCCCTTAAATGCCAGCACAGGGGGAGGATTATGAAGGGCAGAAGCAGTAAAACCAGCCAAACCAAAAGCAGTCCCAGGTGGTGGTGGCTGGTTTGTTAAACAAGCACAAAAAGAGGCTGTTGCTGACCCCTCAGTGCCTCCCCTGGGCCTCGTTCTTCGGGATTACCTGGAAAGCACAAGTGCTTGGCATTTGTGCAGGTGGAAATGCTGTACTGCTTGGCCAGGGAGGGACATCCTAAGTGACATAAGCCATTCCCATCCCTGCCTACAAGCAATGGCTTTCTCTGAGGGCCGGGAACATTTCAAATGGATGTAGACAAAGATCTTGGCTATATGGCAGCGGAGTGAGCAGGGTCTGTCTTCAATGTGTATGATGAGGGTGGTTAATAAATGAGGCAATGGGTTACCTACACCACTAAAAGACATGAACAGCTCTTGCTGAACATTTCCATCATACATGGGGACATAAATAACATCTCTTAAGTTTTTACACTTATTCAGTACATCTCAGAACAAAAATGAAGCTTAAGGGCATGTCAGGTAAACACGATACCCCACAGTCTCCCACCGTTTCAGCCAACCCAGAATAAATTTAAAGCTCCCTTGTATATAATCTGCATCAGAAAGGTATCAAAGGCACAAGCAAGAAGTGACTAGGTTAATAAGCAGAAGTAATGGTGAATGAGGATGAATAGATTCACAAGGCAAATAATTAGTAAATGTGGGTGGGTTTTTGTTTGTCTACTGACAATGAGATCTTCCAATTCTGCTCCAATGAATGTAAATAATGATTTTGGTGTGAAATAAAACTGTTACTGAATTATTTTAAATCACCTGAAGGAAACCAGTCTTGAAATAATCTGATACTAACTGGAAAACTCTTCTGGCTTCTCCAAACTCACCTGAGCCTGATGAGTAGAAGCCACAAGTACCAGAGACAAAAGTCTCCAGGGCTTAAAAGAAAAGTTTCTTTACAGAATGTACACAGCCAGCAATAATTTGTGCAGTTTGACTCAAATTACAGTAATTTGCACAGTTCAATTGATGTTATGCATAGCCAAGGAGCCTGATCAAATCGGAGTTTCCTTCCTGTCTTTACTTGGCGATGGCTTGACTTGCTGCTCCTTGCTTGCTTTTGGCTGCTCTTTGGCTGCTTTTGTCTCCAGGACACTGTCTCTTTGCTGCTGAGAAACACCCCCACGTTTTTCTGGCTCCTCTTCTTCCTGCACCTGCTGCTCCGATTTCGCTCGCTGCAGCAGTCGGAGCTGCACGCGCAGCTCGATGATGGCCTCGCGCTCCTCGTGAATCGCTTGGTTCAGGTGATTGTTCTTTATCTTTTAAGGAAGGAACACAAATGTCAGGGCCCCTTCAGGCACAGAACTGCTGTGGCACTGCAGTGAAGCATTGCTGCTAACCCAGACAGCAGCGTGGACTTGCACACAGCAGTGACAGGAATCACACAGAGCCTGTGGGTCACAGGCCTGGGGCACAACTGATGCACAACCACCACTTCACGTGTGCAAACACCTCTGCACAGGCTCAATCCAGGAACCACTAAGGGAAGAGAACCTAAGACTCAAATCTTACCTCCAGTTCCTCATTCTGTCTCTGCAAATCTTCCAGGATGACCTGCAGTTCCTCCTCATCTTCACTCTCACTTTCGCTCTCAGAAGAATATTCCTCGGTTTCACTTCGGCCATGCTGCTGCCGACTGAAACACCAATGACAAGTTCCAACTTAAACACTTTCTTGAGGCTGCCACAATTGTAGCAGTGGAAAAGAGTTACCTTACATCCACTGAATCCTCTACCAACTGTTTTAAAAACTTTTTTTTTTTTTAGACTTCCCTTTCAAAGCTTAATTTAATAAAGCAGTGTTTTCCCAGGGGCTTTTTTTAGTGCATAGGGTCAAGTTTTTCTTCAGATCATAATTCCATTGTTAAAAGAACAGAAAATATCCTGAAAGATCCAAAGTTGCTGAGACCTCAGTAAAAGGAAGTGGCTTTCTGCTGTGATGTTCAGTGGGTGAGGTCTCCTCTGCCAAGTCTGCAGGGACAGGACTAGAGGGAATGGCCATAAGCTGAGACAGGGGAGATTCAGAGTAGGTATTAGGAAAAATGTTTTCCCTGCTATGGGGGGGTCAGGCACTGGGATAGATTGCTCAGGGAGGTGGTGGAGCCACCATCCCTGGAGGTGTTTAAGAGGTGTCTGGACCTGGTGCTGGAAGATATGGTTTAGGGGTTACAGGTGAGCAAGAAGCTAATGGTTGGACTTCATGATCTTAAAGGTCTCCTCCAGCCTTGATGATTCCATGATTTTAAGTGTAGTTCAGTGTTCTTTCAGCAGAGCACATACATGCTCTAACCCCAGTGTGCTCGCCCAGAGAGGCTCTGCTGTCAGCTGCCCCTTTACCTTTGTATCTCAGCTATTTCTGCTCGCAGACGATCGATCTCTTCCTTCTCTGAGGCAATCTGTCTCCGCAGAAACTGCTCCATGGCCAGCAGCTCTTCCTGTTCCGTTAAAATCTCGTTCTCCTGCAATGATCGGTTAGTTCTCTTAAAGCCTTGAACTTTATGTCCTACAGGACATAAGATGCTGCTGTTCCCTGACACACTTGGAGCAGCAGTGGTGAGCAGGTCTGCTTTGAACTCAGATTCATCAAGACCTCATAGCAAACACAAGTCCAAACCCAACAATGTCTGCTCTGAATCCTCAAGATGATCACTGTGCTGAATAGTTGTGGAGATGACACACCAAATACCAATGTGTTTGGCTGCCTCTTTCTTTAAATCACACAGGAAGGCTCTGCCTAACCAGTAAAATAACTAGAAAAAAATGAATTATACATCTTTGAAGATGAATATGAGTAGTAAAGTGCAGTGGGGAGAAGATCAAAGCTACTGGGGGAAGCAACAGAAGGCAAAAAAAGCCAAAATA